CTTTGCCAAATGGGGCTATTTTGACCAAGTGTTTGGGCCTTTTCCTGCTCGGTAGACCGCCAGCACTCGGTACAAGACACCAAACCAAAGGAAAAACGATTACAGAAAGAATGGGAAGTTTCCCATAGGCACATAGAGCGAAAATGCCAAGACCTGACTTTGCCAAATGGGGTTATTTTGCCCAAGTGTTGGGCCTTTTCCTGCTCGGTAGACCGCCAGCACTCGGTACAAGACACCAAACCAAAGGAAAAACGATTACAGAAAGAATTGGAAGTTTCCCATAGGCCACATAGAGCGAAAATGCCAAGACCTAACTTTGCCAAATGGGGTTATTTTGCCCAAGTGTTGGGCCTTTTCCTGCTCAGTAGACCGCCAGCACTCGGTACAAAACACCAAACCAAAGGAAAAACGATTACAGTAAGAATTGGAAGTTTCCCATAGGCAACAAAGAGCGAAAATGCCAAGACCTAACTTTGCCAAATGGGGTTATTTTGCCCAAGGGTTGGGCCTTTTCCTGCTCGGTAGGTAGACCGCGATCACTCGGTACAAGACACCAAACCAAAGGAAAAACGATTACAGAAAGAATTGGAAGATTCCCATAGGCCACATAGAGCGAAAATGCCAAGACCTAACTTTGCCAAATGGGGTTATTTTGCCCAAGTGTTGGGCTTTTTCCTGCTCGGTAGACCGCCAGCACTCGGTACAAGACACCAAACCAAATAAAAACAAAAGATTACAGAAAAAATTGGAAGTTTCCCATAGGCCACATAGAGCGAAAATGCCAAGACCTAACTTTGCCAAATGGGGTTATTTTGCCCAAGTGTTGGGCATTTTCCTGCTCGGTAGACCGCCAGCACTCGGTACAAGACACCAGACCAAAGAAAAAACGGGCGTCTACAACACTCGGTGTTCCCAGGCGGTCACCCATCCAAGTACTAACCGAGCCCGACGTTGCTTAACTTCAGTGATCGGACGAGAACTGGTGCTTTCAACGAGGTATGGCCGTAGACATTATATAGAAATTTTTCTGGCGGGTCTTTCTCGCAAAACAGGGGAAAATACCAGTAAAATGGAGTCTACAGCGCAAAAGGGCGTCTACAGCACTCGGAGTTCTCAGGCGGTCACCCATCCAAGTACTAACCGAGCCCGACGTTGCTTAACTTCAGTGATCGGACGAGAACTGGTGCTTTCAACGTGGTATGGCCGTATACATTATATAGAAATTTTTCCGGCGGATCTTTCTCGCAAAGAGGGGAAAATACCAGCAAAATGGAGTCTACAGCGCAAAAGGGAGCCTACAGCACTCGGTGTTCCCAGGCGGTCACCCATCCAAGTACTAACCGAGCCCGACGTTGGTTAACTTCAGTGATCGGACGAGAACTGGTGCTTTCAACGTGGTTTGGCCGTAGACATTATATATAAATTTTTATGGCAGGTCTTTCTCGCAAAACAGGGGAAAATACCAGCAAAATGGAGTCTACAGCACTCGGTGTTCCCAGGCGGTCACCCATCCAAGTACTAACCGAGCCCGACGTTGCTTAACTTCAGTGATCGGACGAGAACTGGTGCTTTCAACATGGTATGGCCGTAGACATTATATAGAAATTTTTCTGGCGGGTCTTTCTCGCAAAACAGGGGAAAATACCAGCAAAATCGAATCTACAGCGCAAAAGTTTGTCTACAGCACTCGGTGTTCCCAGGTGGTCACCCATCCACGTACTAACCGAGCCCAACGTTGCTTAACTTCAGTGATCGGACGAGAACTGGTGCTTTCAACGTGGTATGGCCGTAGACATTATATGGAAATTTTTCAGGCGGGTCTTTCTCGCAAAACAGGGGAAAATACCAGCAAAATGGAGTCTACAGTGCAAAAGGGCGTCTACAGCACTTGGTGTTCCCAGGCGGTCACCCATCCAAGTACTAACCGAGCCCGACGTTGCTTAACTTCAGTGATCGGACGAGAACTGGTGCTTTCAACGTGGTATGGCCGTAGACATTATTTAGAAATTTTTCTGGCGGGTCTTTCTCGCAAAACAGGGGAAAATACCAGCAAAATGGAGTCCACAGCGCAAAAGGGAGTCTACAGTAATCGGTGTTCCCAGGCGGTCACCCATCCAAGTACTAACCGAGCTCGACGTTGCTTAACTTCATTGATCGGACGAGAACTGGTTTTTTTTTATCTTGTAAAATTTTATTCACTGACTACATATTCACATTAAAATCATCATTAAAATATCACAGATATTTGAATGTTAAAATAGTACAGGAATAATAGATAAATTATAATTATTATAAATCACATATTGCTTCAAAATGAATTAATCTATATTTACATAAACATTATCACCATCCAGTTTAACATAAGGATTTGATAAAAACATGAGAGTGAACTTATGTCCAAAACCTTTCATTTGTAAATAGTACTTTAAATTTTTAATATAATTTATAAACATTCTCTTAAATAAGGTACATACATTAACTATTATACCATTTTGATTGTATAAAGTTCGCCTTCTAATAATACTAATTCTAGCTATTGAAAATACTAAAATAAGAAATACATTTTTATCTTCTTTTTTAACAGGATAACCAAAAATCATCCAATATTTAAACTGATCATAAGTAAAACCAGTATTTTGAGAGAAATATTCTAACATATCTTGAATCATATTTAAAAGAGGCTTAATTGATGTACATTCAAAAATCATATGTAGAAGTGTTTCATCTTTCAAATCATTACACAATTTACAACAAGGATTATCTAATATGTTAATATTGTACAATTTAAGATTATTCCAA